TCGTTTCTAGAATCAACTTCGGTTTATCGAGGTTTGAGTGCATCAATAATTTAATTTACGCGTTTGATAATACAAAGCTATCTTTCACTCCAAAATTTTTTGTTCTAAGAACCAAAAATCGGTTATCATCAGTTTTGTAATGCTTTTGCATACAAACAGATGAGTTTGACTAGAAATCCTTTTTATAATCGAGAAAATTTATGTTGTGAAGCTAATGAAGAATGGAACCAATGCAAAGAGAAAGATAATATACAAAACATAATTGAAAATTTTCTTCTCATGTCAATTCCTATACAAGGTTTTCAATTTATACACGCGACATTCAGCATCTTCTACTTTATTTAATATTTCACACTCAACATTATTTAATATTTCGCCAATTCTTCCAAATACTAGTGCACAGAGTTTTTGAATGAGATACGAAACTGACAAAACTAATTTTATTTACGAAATTACAACATTTTCTATAATGACTTTCTCACTACGTATAAAGAAAATCAGACGACAAAACTCAACCGAAATGCAAGTTACCAACAAAAGGCTAAATTAAAAAAAAAGAAAACTTTTAAAAGAAAAAAAGAAGTAGTTAAATGATCATGTCGGTCGCCCTCCTATTCTCTTCAAGAGCATCCTGATTTCCTTGAATACATACATAAATTTGGTACAGCTGATACTAAAAGAAGTAATTCAGTACTTCATTACACGAAAAATTGGAAAGCAATTATAACAAATACCCTTAAATAAGCACTCGCCGCAATTATATGGCAGGCCCCCTGATGCCTCAAAAATATATATCAGTATCCTTTTGAAAGATCAATGGCCACCTTGCCCGGCAAACTAGCAGGCATAACCCTCTCCACCAACACATTTGGTAATCATCTTAACAACAAAGGAAATGTTTTTGATTACGAGCTCGGACTAAGAAATTTTTAGCGAAGCTTTATGTACTTTTTGACGGCATGGTAAGATTTTTGGCACAGATGAATCATCAAATCCTTTTTCGGATGTAGTTTTTGATCACAAGACTAATACAGTAGTAATAGTGAAAAAAACGAAGATGCATATCAAGAAAAGAAAATGCTGTTGTACATGAAGCTGCTAGTTCCATGGGCCTAGAACGAAAATCATGCGCAAATGTGTAAATACACAGAAATGTGCGGATCCAGAATGCTGTTCACAAAAACGAGCTTCAAAAATTACTTCTTTTCTCGAACAACTAATGGTTTTCTTTCACTAGTAATTCAAGGCAAGGCAGGGTTGTACACGGACGTTGTCCGGCAATGTTTGATGAACTTTGGGGTGTAGCTAAAAATTACTATATGCGAAGCGAATTTTCCTATGAGTTATTGAAAGTTTATAGAAATACTTTTTTATTATTGAATAGTAAAATTGCTCTATCACACTTCTTATACTACATTTTGGTACTATGAAAATGATATTCTTTTCCTTGTAAACTACGTAGTTAGCTTTTAAGATTGCTTACATAATGCTTATTAATGTGTTTATTCTATAAAAATCTTTTTTTTTGTTACTGAATTATAAAAAAACTCTTCATATGGCAATACTACACTTATACTACATTTTGGTACTATTTTGAAATGATATCCCTTTTTCTTAAAATCACATATAATAATTTTTATTATTGATATTCTTTAATTTTGATTTAGGTTCACGGTACAGACATGAATAAGTCGATATTAATACGTATAGGCTAATACTAAAATCTCTTGGCTAGAATTAACAAGTGATGTGCTGGTATTAATATTAATTTTTGAATCCAATATATATTGTTCAATATCTAGATACAACAAAGTATAATGAATATTGTTTTTTTAATTAGTACTGAGCAATATGCAACTCATATACATGTATAAATTATATAAAAAATACTTTCCTATTCATAACTTTCTGACTAGTGCTCCGATCGGGTCGGGTCCAATCCGTGACCCAACCCGAACCGCACACTTCGGATCGGGTTGGGTTGGTGTCAAACCCGGTCCGATCAGACTAAAAATCGTTCAATATTAATCCAAATTGAACAAAAATTGTAGATATATGCACAGTTATATTCCGAACAAATCTACTTAAGATACAAGTGTCAGTAAAAATAAATGTTATTAATGGAAAACTATTTTACGATTTTCGGATCAAACCCGACCCGAACAGAGTTTTATTTCTGATTAGCCACAGAATTTTCAATATTCTAATTCAAGGCCAATCAGAACTCATACTTCTCAAATCACATCTTGATCCAATTTCTAAGCTTGTTTATAATGAACAGATACTTGATTTCAGTCACATTTTTCCTATAATAATATTAGTTTTCATACTCAATTTGATTATATTATATGTGTAAATATGATTGTTATAGAAATAAAAATTTAAATATCTAATATATTATCAAGTTTTCTATTTTGGGTATTTTTTTATTATAATTTCCTTTGAAACTTGAGATTCTTCTAACTTCACTTTCTCTAAAATAATTTGATTATTTAATCATGTAATTGCAGAGTTTGAAGCATTTTATATAATAAAATATTTGAAATTATTAGAAATAATAGATAAATAATTTAATTATTTGTATAGTACATGACAGATATATTATATATGTATAATATTTTTATGTGCTAGGATTAGAATTAGGATTAGAGATAGAGATAGATTATATGTAAAATCATCTGTTTTCTATATTTTTTGCATTTTTTGCATTTTTTTATTTTCTTGTATTGAATTTGTTTTGTTGAACTGATCAAAATTTGGGGGAGGGAGAGGATTGGCTAAAACCTGGTGAACATGTGATATATATTTATCACAGTGTTAAAGGTTGATTTTTTAGGGTTAGGATTAGAGTGGAGGGCTAGAGTATTATTACACCAGTAATACAGTTTCCTTTTAGAAATGCATTGAATTTTTTTTGTGTTTCTTTATTTGTGTCAATCAATTCAAATTACACTACAAATTACATCACAAATTACATCACAAATTACACTGCCAATTACACTTCAAATTACACCTTAAATTATACCATAAATTCCACTGTAAATTCCACTGTAAATTCCACTGTAAATTACACCATAAATAGAAAGCCAAAATGTATATAATGAGAGTGAAAAAGAGCAATTAGAGAATAGGCAGAAGAATTGGCAATAAAGCAATAAAAAACTTTAAAATATAATTACTTACTTGCGTACAATTAGTTCTTATAGTGCTCTTTCATCCTCCATCCCAATAATTAAATCCATTGTTACAAAAAGGGGTTTGCCACTTTGATCCAGAAAAAGTGAGGTGAAAACAATTTGAAAGGTTTGTCACTTTGATCCAGAAAAGTGAGAAAATTGTTTTGACGACTACGATTTAAGGGTTTACGCTTTTGCGTTTGGTCCAGAAAAAGTGAACGCATTGTTAACATTTGTGAAACACGTGAACGAAACCAAACTGATAATTGAATACAATAATATCCGAAGATATTGGCACAGAACCTTGGAAAACTAATAAATAAAATAACTAGTTTAATTTGTTTCTCCCACCCAAGTTACAGATTAGCAGCTAATTCTTATAATCGGTCACTAACCTGTAACAGTATATGTAAAATTGTGCCCCCAACGTCTTTAATTAGTGCTCCAAGATAGATCAAAGCATATCGATATGTTCGTACTTCGGATTTGTTTTTCCGGGTTGATCGAAAATTTACGCATTATTATTGACTTGTTTATCGGACAGATCACTGGACCCACAAGACTTTAGCCAACCCCAAAATTTGTGCATCCTTATTGATTTGTTATGTAAATACACAAGGATTAGAGTCAAGATTATACATATATGTAAATTTTGTTTTCCTTTCATTTTTTTTATTAGTACTTCAAGTTAAATTTAGATATCTGTTTCCCGTATTTTCACATGTTTAATTTTCTTGTTTTTCTGGCTAATTGAAAATTTACACATCCTTATTGGTTTGTGAGAATTTCAAGGATAAAGCTCTGTTCGGGTCTGGTTTGACCCCAATCCGACCCGACCCGAAATGTGCGTTCCGGGTCGGGGTTGGAGCACTATTCAAGGATGTATAAATTTTTCATCAGTCTGGCAAAACAGTAAAAAATATGGTAACAGAAGATTGGAACAATAAAAAACATCGGAAGGAAATTTTTACTATAACTTTAATTCTCATTCTAATTCTACCCTTAATCCTAGCCCTAAAATTAACCTTAATTATTGTCATGTGCCGGGTTGCAGTTACAGTCCCCAGCGAAAGTAATGACGGTGAGGAGGTTGTTATAAATTTTACTATAATACTAACGTTTTTATAGAAGCAAAATATATAAATAATAGTGTTAGATTTCTAGCAAGGTAATAATAAAAATATGATGAATTTGCGAAGTCTAATAAGAGCAAGTCATTTTCCCGATTACAGGTTTTTAAATTTTCAAACCTTATTTTATTCGATAACCAGTGATCAAATTTTTGAACGTTTGGTTTTATTATATTTGTATTAATAAGACGAACATTTTGGTTTATGTAGTAATTTCATTTTAAGCAGAATAACATTTATCGAATTATTGCGATTTTAGTTTTTTTTATAGTTAAAAACGTTATTATATTCGAACTTACATTGACACAGCATAATGCCTTACTCAAAGGCACTTTCAAAATAATTTTTTTTAAAAATTGACTTTCGCCGGGAATGTACGGCGGGTGGCACAGATTCCATGCTGAGTATAACTGACGTAATACGCATGGACTGTCACAACTCCATACTCTACTTCCATGGGTATCAGCTTAGCCCACAAATACACAATGTATTGTTATTCTCCAAATGAATTTTAAGCTACAATCGTACCTTGTTATACATGTAGTCACTTCCCAGTTTCAATGCATGCAGTTAATGATAATGACATTCTTGTGCAATTGTATGGCTTAAAACTACATGTGAAACCAATACGTTTTTGCAAGTTTCCGTTGCGTTTTCGAATATTAAAGCAACCTCTATTCTACCTTCTGTTGATTCAAGTGACTTTTTTCACTTGGAATATGAATATCATCTTCACCCACATCAGTATCAACGTATCTTCCTTATCTTCGTCCAGATCTACATCACTTCCGTATCTATTTCTGTTTCTTTTGGCGTAATCTGTGGTTTGATATCCCTGCTCACCCTTTCATATTTAAAGTTGACTTTAACTTCGCACTCTACTTTAATTACCTTCTGGTATTCGTCCATAAGTTCGGGTAAATATTCCTCCATTAGGGTCTTCAATTCTAGCTTTGCTTCAAAACATCATAATTAGCATCTAAGCCAAAAAATAACCAATCATCATGTCAAATATATTGTTTCCACCAAATATCTCCGTAAATGAATTAATAAAACTTATGAATCGTAATCAAAAACAGCCGGTTAGAGCGCTTAACGCATTCATTATATATCGAGCTAACTATTATCGCGAAATTCTGATTAATCAAAAGATGTCTCAACCCGAAATTTCTTCCATGGCGGGTCAAGCTTGAAAAAAGAACCTCCAAATGTCAAGGAAGCATACTATAATCTTGCCAAACAGGCCAAAGGGATTCATTTGGCTCAAACCACGTAATTGCTGATGGAAATATCGGTAGCAGTCGATCACAAAATGTGCTTGAAAATGTTCAAGTGTTAACTGACAGTAACTCTATCAATTACCAACAAAATGCTTTTAATAATTCACGCGATGTCAATGTGAATTTGAATTTATCGCTATGAATATGTGGTGTCGTATTTTATTCCTCGAGAATGAACTTATTATTAAGCAAAACGAACTAGCTTCAATGAACAAGCTATATTTGAATTACTTATTACTTATTATTAGTTAAATTCAATTGCGAAACAAATAGAACCTTTTTGGTATTATATAGCGATAGTTTTAACAGAAAACAATGCCGATGCCAATACGCAAATTACATTTTTTCGCGTATTTTTGTCGAAATTTATTTAAATAAATTAAAATTTTTCGTGATAATTTAAGATAACGATAAATTATGGCCCGTGGAAATTTTGGATTTATTTTTGGGGAAAAATTGTTCCAGTGATTTTACAAAACAGTGCTTTATGGTAATAATGCTCACGTAGTGATTGGACTGTTCAAAAATATGACCCGGGTCACCCGAAGGTTTAACCCGCGGATCACCCGGGTAAGAATATTACCCGAATTATTGCGATACTACATATATTTATAAAAATTTGATCTACGTAGAATTTCGCACACCCAACGTGATTCATCTTCGATCTTAATGCGCGTCACCATTACTAATAATTATTTCATCCATGATTTTGACCATAAGCGTGACCGTATAACACATATTTCATTGGGTCGATTCCATATAACATAGTGAATGAATCAATGGCGAACTAATCAACGGGTTAACCGGGTGGCTATGATCACAACCCGGATATCCGACCCATCCGGGTTGACCCGGTTGTACCCGACCCGGTTCCAATCACTGTGCTCGTATGAGTTTATCGTATCGTATTATCCACATGTAATTTTCAAACCAGTCATTTGGCACTATATTTTTTTTTGAATTTTGAGAGCAACACGGAAAATTCTACTGTGATGTTAAAAGTTGATTTTAAGGTTAGGATCAGGGTCAAATTTGTGATTCGAGAAGAGATTATATGTAAACTTTCCTCACCGACATTTTTTATTAGTACTTTAAGTTAGATTTAGACATCTGCTTCCTGACAGAGAAAGAAATGAAGAGGTTTCAGCCAGGTTTTGTGAGACAGAGCTTAATAGTGGAAATATAACTGGAAATGGACATTTCCAAAACATTTATTATTCTCATTACTGCTAATTGGATTGATTATTGTATTTAGCATACATATTGAACTTAAAGTTACTAGTTTAGCTAATTGCGTTTAGACTTTGACAGGTTTATTAATAATATTTCCATATAGTTTTGACCGGAAACCTTAAAAATCATACATAATAACTGCCTAAAAATATGCTTTGTGGTATTAATTTTTTTTATAATGGTTCAACAACGTTACATTATATTTATAATACAAGCATTTCTGACTTGCATCTCTATACATTATGATAATTATAAGCATACATTATAAGAATACACATTATAAGAATATAATATGAGAGGAAATATTATAAGGATAAAATAATAACGAAATATGAAAAACTAGAAAGTTCTATGCTTATAAGATCTAATTCGAGCAAATTACTGCTGCTACAGTTTCTGTTCTTTTTATTGATTTGCTCGCTCTTGTTCGAGTTGTTGATGGACAATCGCAACGTCAACAAGAGCATTCCAGAGCTTAACATTGGTGATCGGCTAAAAATTTAAATTAAATATTTCATTAAACTATCAACAAATAATTACAAAATTTTCAATAACCAACCTTTATAATCGATCGATGCTTTATTTTTCCAAAGCCTGCACTCCCGAATATAATATAAATTTTCTCCTGTTGCAATAGGTTAACAAACAATACTGACACAATTTGGTTCTTTCGTGAAAAAGTATCCGCAAGAACCATGAGCTGCTCTTGCGAGAAAAAGCAAGTATCGATGATAATCGTATTAATCGAGTCTTTATCGTTCTCGTCAATTTTAATCCCTTGTGACAAAGAAATCAAAATTGCCGAAAGACCGAAATCTTTCTGAAGCATTTCTAATGTTTTAATTTTGAGATTTAGAGATTCCGGTAATATTGGGTCGGTGACCTCGTAATTGAGAACGCCTATTTTCAGAATTGAATGTACATCCAATCTTTCGGGCAATTCTTTAATTAAATATCTGAGAGGAATCGGTCTTTCTTTGGTCGTCTCTTTGATTTCATCTTCGTTAATTTGAAATTCTATCGATAACTTTACTCGTAGAGACGGGACTACTTGTTGTTGTTCTTCTGTGTGTTGGTTACGCTCGATAACCAAATTTCCGCCAATCAGGTTAACAAGGCCTCTTGTAAAACTGAAATTGAAAAAAAAAGATAATTTAAATTTATGAAAATTCTGAAAATCAATGAAACTTTTACTTTAGGTTATCACGGTCTTGTGACACACTCGATGAACTCGTTGTATCCTATAAAATGAATGTACATTATTTTTGAGAATGCTGAATAATGGCATTTGGAATAATGGTTATACTTTATCGAATTCCAGAATCTTGCCATATGCTTGAATGTCAAATAAAACTCTAAGCAGTCTTTTTTCGTTTTCTTTCATCTCTTCCGAGTCGACAATGATGATAATCGATTCACGGGAAGTGGTGGCACTATCCTAAAAGATTTCAGAATTGGCAAAAGAAAGCTTTTTGATTGCGAAAAATTTATATTTCAATATTTTTTACTTACCACCAAACCAAGAAGCTGTCAACATCGTCATCACAAGAAGCAGAATTGTTGGTATTTCATAGAGAAGGAAACAAGAAACACAACAAAATCGATTCAAAAAATGACACACGCTCATAATAATCTGCTTTATTATCCCGACATTTCCCTTGAGCACTGACAATGACAATGGCACGTTGTAATATAGATTAAAATCCAGGTTTTTCTTTTCAAAAATGATAGCCATTCCTATACGTAGTAATAATTAAATGAAGTACTTCATTTATAAAAAAATAAAGACTTTTTTTTTCTTAAATTTGATACCATCACATATCTCTTCCATAGCTTGGTACGAATCGAAATTGACGACTGGAACTGGTGACTCGCCTTTTTAGTAGAAGAGACGGGAATCTGTCAATTTATTCTGTAAAATAAACTCAAAGTTGCATTAGAAAAAGTGAGACCTACCCTGCAGTCCCTAAGTATTTCATGTCAAAGCATAGAATTTATTTAGTTAGAAGCTTCCAAAAAAAAGTATTCATATAAGTAAAATAGCATGACATGTTTTTACCAGATCCAAAGAGGTTAAAACTCGATCCGCCATTTGAATCAAAGTGTTCCCGGAACTCTGGATAGTATCTACCAATTTTCTTTGATAGTCATTTAACGTAGAACACCCAAGAAATTCGGAGCTGGCAACAATTCCATGAATCGGTGTTCTGAGTTCTATATTTATTTATATTATAAAACATTAATTTGGAAAACAATGGAATTCTTTATATTTTTCTAAAGCTAAATAAATAACCATGGCTTAACGCCTGGACAGTTTCACGTATGATTTTCTTATTATGATCCATCTAAAAACACATAAAAGTCAAGAGAAATGCGTTTTAACAAATCAAATCGCAAGGAGATGAATTTCAAATCATACCACGTTTAATCGTTCTTGATCGATAAATTCCTTTTCATTTATCATCGCCGAAATCATCAACAACGTTAAATCCTGCAATATCAAATTGAAGGCGAAATAAAAAGTTCGTTCAAACCATAACGGTTCTTTCTTCGTAATATAAGGCCTAATGAATAATAGAAATTAAGCCACGAAAACAAACAGAACTGTCATTTTTTAGATAGTGCAAGAATGCACGGACCAGAGCAGAAAAAATCCTAGATGTATTATGCACATAAGGATTAGAGTTATCTGCGCAAATCTTTTTCCAACGAAAATATAACTATTGTCAAGAAATTCAAGGTTACTGTTAGAAATGAGACCAAACACATAAACAAAAGAAATGAATAACAAACCTAAATGCAGCAAGTAAGAATATTCCACTTTGTTCCATAGTTGAATATTCTTATATAATTAATGAGATATAAGCAAAATTATTCCGAGTTCGATCTTTTTATTCAGCGAAATTAAGATCTAATCAGCCAAAAAATAAAAAGACATTCAATATGTACCTTTTTCAAGTTTCATAAGAATTTGAGTAACGTGCATTGACAGAAAACCGATAACCAAGACTTTTGCATAAACAACAGATGCTACGAGATTGTTAAATAAAACACGAATCTCGACTTCAAAGCAAACGGAAATAAGGATCAGTGTATATTTAAACCGAATAAATAAAAAAATCAAATCAAAATACCGGCATAGATAATAATTATCGTAAATCCAAAAATAATAAGCCTATCGCTTAACACGTCCCACCACTTCCACATAATAAAACTACACGCCATGTACATCTGCATGAGCAACAGAAAAGCGATAAATGTTTTTTTGAATTTATCGGTCGGAAAGTAATTTGCCGTTTCTGACTGAGGATCACTTAACACAGTCTCCATATTGAATTTCTGAAAGTCAATAAAAACAGAGAATTAATTTCACAACTTCAAAAAATGGCTAAGAGGTATATATATATACATGTATATGGAAAAAAATTACTTTATCAAACTAGATTACCCCATCCATAATCTAACTTTTTGATAAGTCCATCGAGTGTAAAAAGTAATTTTTATGATAAATTTTAATTCGAGAAAGATTGTGGACTGATTTTATCAGTCGTTAATAACGATAAACTTAAAAAACTGATGAAATCATCATTGTATCATTGCTGTGCATTTTTGTAACGGTAACTGTAACTGTAAAATGATTACGTAACATGATTTGTAGATAGCGATAGTGTCAGTTCTACAACCGGTTAAATCAATTTAATTGCATGTAATTAATTGCGTAATTTAGAAAACAAACACGGTCATAATATTATAAAAGGAAAAGTGTCTTTTTACTATGGTGCATAAAATCTAAGGTCATCAAACGTTTGTATTTAATAAAATGTATAAACTTCTTTACTAAGAAGTAAAT